CTGCTGAACTCATTTATTCTAATTTTTTTGTGTGTGGAATCTTTGTGATTTTCTATATACAAGATCATGTTATCTGCAAATTGAGAGAGTTTACTTCTTTTCTAATCTGGATGTCTTTTATTTCATTTTCTTTCTTAATTGCTCCAGCTGGAACCTCCAGAACAATGTTGTACAGCAAAGGCCAGAGCGAGCATCCTTGTCTTATTTCTTCTTTTAGGAGTTTTGTGTGTTTTTAAAATACCATTTTCATTGAAATTGCTTTTCTAAGTTAATTTTTCAATGTATTCTGCTGGAATACAGAAATATAAATTAGTTCTTTTTTTTAACTTGAGATTTTCTACATAAACAATCATGTGTTTTTTTTAATGTAGTTCTACTTCTTTTTTTCTAGTTTTATGCCATTAAATTTTTACTCTTTCCTTATTACACTAGTTAGGACTTCCAATATAATGCTGAAAAAGTGGTAAGAGTGGATATTCTTGTTTTTTGATAGATCTTAGGAGAAAAGGGTTAAGCATTTTATTCTTTGCTATGTTGCTACACAGAAACTATAGAGTCCTACAGATTTTTCAGGGATTTAAAGTCTAGTAATTTCAAGTAATATTGGACTGCTTTGCATCTAGTTCTTGCTTATTCTAATTTTGGTAATGTGTCCTTAGAGGCCTACTCCTCTTCTTTCTTCTGTCTTTGTTCTTAGTTTGTCAGGGGCCACTGCTGAAAACTGAGAGAAGTGAAAGAAATAAAGGAAAAGAGTCTGGGCCCTTCCTTCTGGCCTGTTCCCTTTGGCTGTCTGTCAGAAGTGAGCAACAGCACCTAATTTTTGGATTAAAGTTACCCTTAAATATTAGATGAAGCCCAAGTCCTGGAGTTTTTGTTAGATTTGGACAGCATTTCTATCCAGCTGATGAAAACATTTTAATTGTGTTTTGCACTGAAATTAGAAAAATGAAAAACAAATTGTACCAATTTGGTTTGACTTACCAATCTATCCTGTTTCCCTGGATCTTTACCCAATCTATCTTTTTAATAAGAACTATTTTGGAGATCCTTTACCAGAGGTCATCAGCCTTTCTGCTTTATCCCTTGTTCCCTTCAGAAAATACAGAGGAATTTTTCCTCATCTCTAGGGTCTAGGGTAAAACCTTAGGACAATAGGGATATGGGGCAGAACTAGCAGGGCTCAAAAGGAGAAGGTCTGTTTGTCAGTATGGGGTAAAGGTGAAGAAGACAAGTCTAGGCTGGAAAGAGATGCATAAATATTTGCAAGTGCTACGTCCTTCACTGTTTTGGAAGCCATTAGCATTCTGGCCTCCTCTTGATTCTGGCTGGGGTAAGGGGGAAGGTGGGATTTAAAAAACACAAAATAGTCATTTGGGTCATGAAAATAACAAAGCAAAGATGTTTGGACTGTCTTGTCCCTCTCGCTTCTCCCATATGATCATCTCCCATAGCTGATAAGAGTGGGAGTGAAGCTATGTCCAGGGTAACCGAAGTGTCCAAGGACTAAGACGCTTCCTATTTCTGACCAGTCTTGGTGTCTCTGCTTTCCGCACTTCCCAACCTGAGCATTGCTTCTTTCCAGCAGTGCTGTTTCTGCTGACTCACCATGATCCGGTCTGTGCTGCTCCTTTGCTGTGTCTTGCTCTCCCCAGTGGCTGCCTTTCCAAGAAATGCCCTGAAAGGAATCCTGACCTCCCAGCCTTCTTTCACAGAATCTGGGCATCCTCCGAACGCACTCTCCAACCAGGACTCTCTCTTGGATCCCAAGACCTGCCAAGATCTCTTGCACGCGGCCCCCTCCTTAGGCCCTCTGCTTGGATACCTATCCAATTTATCTCTGGAGGAGGTTGGCTGCCCAAGTGAGGCCCACATTCTGCAGCTTCAGCTTGTTAGAAAGGGAGTAAAAGACATCACCGAAACCCTCATTCATGAGCGTGAAAAGCACAACGAAGAGGAAGGGATTGGCAATCATTTCGAGGGACCTGGGAGGATCGCCAGGGAAGCTTGTATAAATCCAACACTCAGCTATTCACCCTGAGGAATGTATTGATGGTGGTGAATACACTCACTGGGATGGCTGGCCTAGCAGTTAGCTCAGATGGCAATTGAATTTGTTAAAAAGCCATCTCCCATTTCTCATGTTGATGGTGAAACAATTTAAAGCTTTTACTGTCGACATCCTCTAGAACTTCAGGTATGAGTCTTGGGAACATGTTGAAGAATTAGGCACAAAGCTGAAGAAATAGTTAAGAGCCTCTTAGTATTTATGCATGATGACATTATAATTTATCAGATGTTTCACAGTTATTCTGAGGTGCTTTATGGGGAAATTGATTCAGGAATTTGTCCAGGTTTACTTTAGATATTTAATGCTACCTAGGTGATAAGTCTCCTTTCCCAGAATTATATTCAAAGGTGGGATATGGTAAGAAGTTAGAAATATTGGAGACTACTTAAGACAGAAGTAGACATTTTATTTCATTTCAGTGCTAAAACACACATGCAACTGGTATTGGCCTTGCCCACCTCTACTTAGTAGCACTTAGTCCCTATTTCTTATTCCATTTTTCCTTTTCTTTTCTTTGAGTTACCATAACTGTGCATGAAATATGTTCTAAGCATAAGCGGTATTTTAACTTTTTCTCATTCATCTACCCTGTATTAAAACCCCAACTACATGCTGTAACTTGCTAATATAATCTTTGATTGAAAAGAGATATTTAAAAAGAGCAAATAATAGATATCTAATCTCTTCTGATTCTGGATCTCCTAGCTCTTATCATGAGCCAGAGTGGGAATGGTGGCAGAGACCTGTAAGAAATGCCAAAGAACAGGGTCTTTGGTATTAAGGTCAAGTGTGCAACAAGAGAACAAGGTTTGGGCAGCCAGTACCAATGGACAAATATTTGCATAGATTACATCTCTTACTGATGATGGGGAAAGTAAATATCCCCTTTTTTTCATGGACAGAGAAGTAAGCAGCACAGGATTGAGCAGTTACGAAATCTAGCAATCAGTCTTACTTCTCAATAACTGGATTGTGTGGTAGTTTGGGGCCCCCTATAATTGAGTGGAAATAAAGCAGAGGAAGTCTCTGGTAACCTGAAGATGGAGAAAGACAAGGGGAACAATTGTGTTACATTTCCTCTTTCTTAAGCTTTTACCTAAGAACAAAAGCATGAAAGTGATGAAAGAAGTGTGCCCTGGGTCCTGGGCTCTTTTCAGACCACATCCCTTAGGGAAACAGTTTGTATGTTTCTGGTTTTTCTCTTCTGTAGTGTACTCTGGTCCAGACATGTGTGGCTTCAGACTCATCATTCCAACTGAGCTGCTTCTTTTCTACCTCCTGCTGCACCCTCTAGATGCTATTTTATATGGAAACCAGACAAATATACTGATGCACTATCCTTCATCCTTGGAATCCTATACACCATCCTCAGATTCCTCATCCTGCCAGACCCTGCTCCCAAAGTCCCTGCCTGGCTTCACCCAAATGGCCGCTCTCCCCAAGTTCCTGGTAGGCCTGCCACTGATGATTGCCCTGAAGGAAGCTGGCTGCCATGCTGATGTACGGACCCTGCAACTTCAGCTCTACCGCCAGGGTGGTGTAAATGCTACACAGATCCTCATCCAATATCTTCAAGGGCTGGAGAAAGGCAGAAGCACAGGGAGAGGGGTGTCAGTGGATACCCTAGTCTCTGCTCTGCAGCTGATGGCCAAGGAGCAGCCAGGCCCAGAGAGGGCCCGACGCTCTCTCCCCAGCAAGGACTGTGAGTATGAGCAGGAGCAGGGTGTACACAATATAGCCCAGTTGTTGCCAGGAGTGGAAACCTACTACAACCTGGGCACAGCTTTGTATTATGCTGCTCAGAACTGCTTGGAAAAGGCCAAGGAACGAGGCCAAGATGGGGTCATAGACCTGGGTTATGACCTTCTAATGGCCATGACTGGACTGTCAGGGGGGCCCATGGGACTAGCAATCAGTGCTGCACTTAAACCTGCAATGAAGGCTGGGGTTCAACGGTTGATACAGTATTACAATGAGAAAGAGGCCAACACCCCTCCACCAGAGACCAGCAAAGAGGGCTTGGGCAGTACTTCAGATGTGAATGACATGGCAGAAATAACTACCATGGCCCCTTTGGTGTCGGAAGTAGTAAATTCAGCTCCTTACTGGGGGTGGCCCTTATTTGAGAGCTATGACTTAAATCCTGGGAATGAGAATTTGGGGATATAAAAAGTGGTAAATGCAGAATGAATAAATCTAATATTCTGACAAACTGTATGTGTGTTTTCAAAATCCAAATCTCTAATGTGTTATCAGGAGGAAGGCAGTGCTGTAAAATGTGGGAACTTTAAAGTTTGGGATTTGGAGTCGGGTTTGGTTTTAAATCTAGGCTCCACTTGTTAGAGCCTCAGTGATCACTGACTAGTAATTTAACTTCTTTCTCCAAGCTTAGTTTTTAAAATTTCTGAAGTGGGGATAATGATTTTCACCTCAATGTGTTTTGTGGACATTAAAAACGATACAAAGAACCTAAAGTGCTTAGCAAAGCACTATCAATAAATATTTATTATTTTGTTATTACTTCAGCCCTCCCCTTCCTGTCCCAGAGTATCGAAATTCCGGTTCCACCTCTTGTTATGAAGCCCTTAGCGATTCCAATGTCGGGAGCTGGTCTCGATTCCGTAGCTGTAGAGCTGGTTCTCGGAAATCAGCTGTTTCAACTTTTGGCTATTCCATTAATTGGACTCCTCCCTCCGCAGTTATGGGGCGGGGCTTACTTGAGCTTTCCCACCAATTGCGGAAGCTGGAGGTGTGGCTTCCTCTCCACTTGTCCTGCCCCGCGTAGAGGAAGGAGTCGAGGCGGCACCAATGAGCTCACAGCTTGGGGAAAGCGTGTCGAGGTGCGCAGTTGAGGAGAGCGAGCTCTAAGGTTCGGCTGCGCTCCTAATCCTCTTGCGAGAGGTGGGGAACCAAGCCGAGGGCGGGGCGGGAGGTGCTGGCGCCGGAGTTCCCTCTGGGGAACCGAAACCTTGACTCGAGCGACTAGAGAGAGCGGGGATTGAGACCCTAACCAGGTACGGACCCTGAGAGATCACACGGGGGTTGGGGGTGGAGGCGTGAGTTCCTGCCCCGGAAGGGCAGCAAGCTCTGGGGACAACGCCCCTGAAGGGTCAGCCTCTGTTTCCAGGTTGAAATAGGAACTGTTATCTGCTGCATCCTGGATCAACCCTCTTCTGTCCAGTCTAGCTCCCCAACCCTAATGTCCCCCTCCCAAAACTCCCCTGCAGCCTCCGAGACCTGGAATTTGGCTTTGTTGCATTGGTTCAGTGTCTTAGACATCGCATTTACCCTCTAGTCTGTTTAAAAAAAAACACAGGTTTTTCAGATGTTTCCTTGCATTTGCCTGAAACTCCATAAGACTTGAACAACAGTTTGTAATGCCTTCTTTTACTGTTTTTTTTTTTTAAATTCAATTTTATTATTAGTTTCAAGTACACAGTACATTGGTTAGACATTTATATAGTTTATAAAACGATGCCCCTAATTGCTCTTTCTCTCTTCTGGCTCTTGGTCTGTGTTTTTTATAAAAATAAAAATCAATGTCTAAGGTTAGATATGATTTATTATACTTATTTGTTACATTAAAAAGTATAAGACACAGAAAGGTGAAACTATTTGCCTAAAGTTACATACAAAATAAAGTTCATTTCAGAAAAGCTAATTGAACACAAAATATGTGCCTAAGAGAGTGAGGGATAACTGGAGAAGAATGTAGGTGTAATAGCCCTTAACCTCAAGTGTTTGCAGTCCATTTTGAAAAGACCACATTTGTTTCTTTCTTTGTTTTCGTATTTAAACCGTGGGATTTACTTGCTGCCTTACTCTTTTAATACCAACCGATTAGTTCCTTAAGGACTGGAGCCTCGTCATTTGTTTTTTAAAAGCAATACAGACACATAGTTTAAAAAGTCAAGCACAACTAAAAGGGTTAAAATGAAAAATAAGAGCCCCTGCCCAGTCTTTTCCTTCCCTTGTTCCTACTTCCTAGCGATAGAAAAGGCGGCTCATAATTACTCATACTGATGGAAAAGAATCTCTCCTACCCCAAACATTCTTCTTTGATTTCTAATAAAATCGTATGACCTTTTTCAGACTACAGATGTGCATGCTTATTGTTTTCTGTTAGGTTCAGGCTGCAACGAGAGTAAGTTTACTTTCCTAAGCAGACAGATGGCAGCGGTCAAGGCAGGTAGGGAGAAAGATTCTCTGCTCAGCCTACTTGGTGACAGGCAAAAATCAGTTTGGAGTGAAATTTCTGGGTCTCTCACAAAGTTGATAATCCACATGAAGAATCAGATATAGAAGGAGGTCATAAAAGTGTCACAACCTTAGAGACTGAGTGACCCCTTATACAACATTTAAACATCTTCAAGAATGGAGCTCCTCTGTCATATATGGAGAGCAGTTTATTGGGTATACCTTATCTCCAAGGAGGTTTCAGTCCCTGATGAAGCTTTGGGGCCAATAGGGATTATGCTGAAATAAATACTTAGTACCCACACTGACCTTTAAGTGCTCCAACATGAACTAATACAGACACAAATAAATTTATTGGGGGAGATAGATGAAATAAAAATGGTGGAAATATCGTTAATGTTTATTGAAGATGAATGATGGGTACATGGATGATCCTTGTACCCATCCATAAGTCTTCACTCTATTTTGGTGTGTTTGAAAATTGCCGTTAAAACAACAAAAAGGCCTACGTATTGGAGCTCTTACATAGTACTCCCCGGAAGACTGTGTATCAAACCAATACTATTGGTTACTTTTGGAGAAGAGGGGAAGGGACCAAGATTGGGAGTGGGGTCAATGTAGACACCCTCCCCCCTTTTTTTCTGTATCTTTTAAAAAAATCTGTATAATTAAAAAATGTTAAATTTGTAATCAACAATCATGAGACTGTGGATGATTTAGTCCACTAAAATTTCCAACTGGGAACCTGAATCCTTCAGACTCTAGTACCAAATGGCACAGTGGGAGATGCTGCAGAATCTTGACAGCCCATTTCAGGATCAGCTGCACCAGCTCTACACAAATAGCCTCCTGCCAGTGGACATTCGACAGTACTTGGCTGTTTGGATTGAAGACCAGAACTGGTGAGGCCCTCAAGAATTTGGGAGGGTGGTGAGGAAAGTGGTTTCTTTCTTCTGAGCCCCCCCAGCCTCTTGGAGACACCAAGGGCAGGAAGGGGTCGGAAAGCCTCAGGACAGTAGCAACCCTGCAGCAATACTAATCTTTGTCATTCATTGTCCCTAGGCAGGAAGCTGCACTGGGCAAGGATGATTCCAAGGCTAACATGCTATTCTTCCACTTCTTGGACCAATTGAAGTACGAGTGTGGCCGCTGCAGCCAGGACCCTGAATGCTTGTTGCTACAGCACAACTTGCGAAAATTCTGTCGTGACATTCAGGTACTTGGAGGAGCTGGGAATAACAAAGTAGGTATAGGAGCTGAGTGTAGAGAAGTACAGTTTAGGGTATGGAACAGGATCTGAAGGTGCAAAAGGACAGGGGCAGATCTGGAGAAGGAAGGACAGAGTCTGGATTTAGGAAATCGCTAGCAAAGAGAAGGGTGGTGTTTATATGACCTGACCTTGTTGGGAAAAGGTTATGGTTTGGTGATCGATGGTAAAAGGAGAAAGGGCTAGGGACCCTGAGGGAGGGGCAAGTACTGGGGTCACTGGTGAGAAGGTTCATTGAAGACAGTTGAATTCAATCAATCCTTTCTCTTTTCCTACTGTAGGCCTTTCCCCAGGGCCCTACCCAATTGGCTGAGATGATATTTAATCTCCTTCTGGAAGAAAAAAGAATTCTGATCCAGGCTCAGAGGGCTCAGTTGGTGAGAACAGTTTGGTGGTGATATTTAAAATTCCTGGAATAGATAGGGACCATGGAAAGGACTCAGGAAATTTGCCTCAGAATAAGACCTTCCCCCCGACCTCTCCCCATAGACTGTGGTATAATTTCAGGCCTGGATTTCAGGGGTGAAAGGTCAGAGCTGAATATGTCCAGAGCTTCTTATTTCAGGAGCAAGGAGAGCCAGTCTTTGAAGTACCTGTGGAAAGCCAGCAGCCTGAGATTGAATCCCGGATCCTGGAATTAAGAGTTATGATGGAGGTTGGTAGATGTGGCAAGAGTCAGGATGGGCAGGACTTAGCCTGCCTCTTCTCACAGAAGCAGCCTCATCTGGGTCTCATCTCTACTGTAGAAGCTGGTGAAGTCCATCAGCCAGCTGAAAGACCAGCAAGATGTCTTCTGCTTCCGATATAAGACCTCAGGTAGGAAGCACATCGAGGGTATGGGAGAAAGGTGCCCGCTGGAAGGCCAAGGGTGAAAGAGAGCAAAAGGGAAAAGCCCCAGTAAACAATAATCACCTTTGGCTACACCTTGCTGGCTACAGTCCTGCTGCCATGCAAAGCTAGAAATATCAGGGTATGTTGGGGAGGTTGGTTGGGCTAGAGGTGTGGCTGAGGGACAGCTAGTGAATGTTGGAGGAGAGATTGGGAAACTACCTTAGCAGATTGAGTGGACTTCTGATTCAAGCATGACCATTCAGAATTCGCCTGAGGGCCCAGAGGTGCCTGTGCTTTGCTTGGTCCCCCTTCCTCTCCCTTCAGAATTCCCCCCTCCTGACTCTGATTGAGAAAGGCGAGGGGAAGGAGCCCTAGGTCTGAGCACTTGTCTCACTCCTGCTCCTGCCATCCAGTGAGGACAGCTTCTTTGGACCCCCATCAGATCAGACAGCAGCAGCTTCTGCAGGAAACTCTCAATGAACTGGACAAAAGGAGAAAGGTGGGAGGCAGAGGACAGAGGGAGTGGGCAGCAGGGAACTGGGGCAAATGAGGGATCTGGGAGCCCTGTCCTCTTAGCCTTGGCTTCTTTGTCCCTTTATTCCCATTTGGCTGGTAGTGGGTGATGGTGAGAGGTGCTCAGCACTCACTTCGTGTCTTTCCTAGGAGGTGCTGGATGCCTCCAAAGCACTGCTAGGCCGATTAACTACCCTAACCGAGCTACTGCTGCCTAAGTTGGAGGAGTGGAAAGTCCAACAGCAGAAAGCCTGCATTGGATCCCGTGAGGATGGAGGGTTGGAACTTTCGCAGCTAGAGAAGTGGTGAGAGGCACTTCCCTGCCCTCCTGCTCCCTCAGCCCTAGTCCTAGCCACTCTCCTGTGCTTTGTAAGTTGTAATGCCCTGTATATGGCAAGAGGTATTGCTCTTCTTAACCTCTGCTCCCCAGGATGATCCCACCTCCCTTATCTGACTGCAGCTCTTCATTCTCATTACCCAGAACTCTTCCTTTTTAATCACCTGAGAAACATGTTTTCTACTTTTTTGTGTGTGCAATGAATATAATGCAAAAGAAATTACTTATTACTTTATTACCCAGATGTAGCTACTGAATATTATTAAAAATTGAATCATACTGTTCATACTATCTTGAGACATGTGGGCTTGTTTGTTTGTTTTTTTTTTAACTTAGCAGCATATTATAGTATTTACCCATGTTACTTTTAATGGCTACATCATAGTTCTTTATATGAAGGTAACAATTTAGTTAATTAACTTTTATTTTGGACATTTGGTTTTTAATTTCTTGCTATTTTTTTCTAGTAAACTTTTATTTTTATATTTATTGTGATGTAGGCAAAAAAAGGAATGTGTCCTTCAACATACTCGAAAAATACCTACTGTTTTAAATATTTTCTCATGAGGAAATTCAGTATAATTTGAACTATTAAAAATAGGCCACAACTATTCAGGTAAATTGAAAACGGGTGTATTGAGTTTCAGGTACAGAATCAGTATTTAAATTTTTAAAAAACTTCATAGCTACATCTTTACATTCCTAATTATTTCTGTAATGTAAGTTGCCAGAATTGATATTCCTGGGTTAAAGTATATACCTTTCCTTGCTAGTAGTGATGGTATTATTGTGTTGATTCTTTGTTTCATTGTTTTTAGTAGAAAGAGCAGTATTAGTTTTTCTGATTATTAATGTATACCAATTGAAAACTTCTTGGACAACTTGGAAGAGAAAAGAAAGTAAAAATCACCCATATGCATAATCTGATCATGCAGAAGTACCCACTGTTTATGCGTTTGCATACTTTTTCCAGATTTTCCCTATACGTATACACAAATACACACCTATTTTAAACAGAAGGCAAATCATATATCTGTACTATCTTGTAATTTTTTAATTTTTAATTAATATTTTTGGACATTTTTCATGCTAAATATTTGAGCCTGTATCGTTATTTTTAATGGTTTCAAAGTATTTCATGATATGAATATGCCAAAATTTATATACTTAATATTAATTATTTCTAATTTTTCTATTACAAATAACAAAGCTATGAACTTCCTCATACATTTGTCTTTGTTCATTTGATTATTTCCTTAGGCTATATCTTAGAAATGGAATATTGTAAAATGTATGCACATTTTTTGGTGCTTTTAAAAATATCGTTTCAGCCTGCTATCCCAGTCTCTTTGCTTACATGTGGTATATGATTGTTTTCCTGTCACCACATTGCCTACTATTATAATTTTTTTAATAGAGACAGTTAAGTATAGAAGTCAGAAGTATAAATTGTGCAGTTAGACTGCCTGGGATTACATACAACTTCATTCCTTATTAGTTTTATGATCTTGAGCAAGTCACTTTTCTGTGCCTCAGTTTTATCATCTGTAAAATGGGAATAATAATGGTACCTACCTCATAAGGTTGTTGAAAGGATTATATGGATTAATATGTATAAAGCACTTCAAATAGTACATAGCAAGCATCGTATGAAAGTTAGCTTTATTATGTTAATTAATCTACCAGTTTTATATGTGAAAGTGGCTTAGATTTTTACTTCTCTGTTATGAATCATGTTGAATAAGCAATACTTACTTCCTGGATTCTTTTTTTTTTTTTGGTCTCAATCTGTTTTTAACTCTCCACATAGTTCAAATGGAGCTCTTAGAATCTGGAGGCTCCAGGAAACTCATGGATTCTCTCTCCCTTGGATTCTATCACTCAGGTTCACAGATGGAGCAAAGCTATTGTTTCATCTACGGCAGCTGCTGAAGGAGCTGAAAGGATTGAGTCACCTGGTTAGCTATCACCATGACCCTCTGACCACAGGAGTGGACCTGCGGGAGGCTCAGGTTACAGAATTGCTACAGCGTCTGCTCCTCAGGTCTATAGGCCAGGGAGGCACTTCTGGGTAGGGCAGAGGGAGGGAACAAGGGGAGCCATTCTTATAGCTGCTGAGCTATATATTCTCTCTACATCTCTCTTCCCAGAGCCTTTGTGGTAGAAACCCAGCCCTGTATGCCTCAAACTCCCCATCGACCCCTCATCCTCAGGACTGGGAGCAAGTTCACTGTCCGAACAAGGTTGACATTTCAGA